CACAATCCAACCCCTAAAGAGATTCCGAGCGTGGAAAGGTCCTGTTCCAGTAATACAGTTATTCCTTCACGTGATTCTAGGAAGGTTAAATATGCCTTGGGGTTTAACTCTGGTACCAGCCGTAACGTAAGTCTAACTCTTCCTCAACATACAGTTTAAAGTAACCCAGACAATAATAGAGGGACGCTTACCAAACATGTTATTAGATAGCTTTTTCCCGGTATGTCTTGAGGCCCACTCGGGCCAGCAGCCGCTTCGCTACCCGTTTCTGATATTGTCTCTGATGATGGGTTTGAGTGAGTATACGAAACGCTAGGCTAATAAATGTCTTGTTCCAGCGATCGCTTCTGCTTCGGGGTAGTGTATTATCGGTATTACCGACAAAGGCATTGAGGCTCCTTCTCTAGCCCTGCCAGCAACTATTCAGCAGCTGATATATAACAGGTAGAAAGACATTATCAGTTAACGCATGGGAGACTGGAATGACCTTTTCGGGTATAGCAGCCAGCCATAGTCAACGCTAAACGTTGCCACGCATAAGGTTCGGACCACCAAACATTTGTCTTAGTACTACCAAGTACGAACCTTGAATGTTGCCTATACTCTAACCTGAAAGCTAAGCCTAAACTTAACACGGACTTTTAATTCTTACACCAATTTCTCCGGAATGTCTCGCAAGGTCACGCATATTACTGGCAGTTGCTCTTCTCATATTCTAGTTCAGGGACCATGTAAGTATTTCGTACCGTATTTTTTCCGAATAACTAGTAAGTAACGACTTTTTAGACACTCATTGGCATATCTGCTAAATACTTTTGTGTAACAATACATTTTTTCACTTATATCCGGGATTATATTTATGAATTCACCCATCTACGTAGAGTATTTATTAGGGTATTTTCCCTAAAAATGAGCCTCTAAAGGTTGTGAAGCCTTGGCCCCGGTAGAACTGTTTATTTCCTAACGAATCCTGTTCCTGCTAAGTTCGGCTCTGGATCATCATGGCTAATCGAGTTACTATTCGATGCCAAATGATTGTCAAGGAACCTACGTTTTGTCAAGTGATCGCATCTTCTTCTTCTAAACCGACCTTTAACAAGTGCTTTTGGGTTTTCTTCCGTTTCCCTTTTCAGTTAATTTCTGCAAAAACCAAAACCCTCATTGTTCTACCATTCCCAGTGTATATGAAAAATTTTAAAATAATGTTCCTGTCAAATCTGAAGGCCGTTGATATTTCTTTAAGCTTTTAGCCTTTATCGCAATCAACTAAGGTTTCCCATACTTAATCTTAAAATTATCCGGACTCGTCTATAGGTCCTTATTTCGTTTATCAAAATCCACATCTTCAGCATGTTAAACTATTTCCTACACGTTCTTTCGAAGAGGACAGATTCGTCAGGAGGTTCCTAATTTAAACTCTGACTATTGCAATGGTTTCCGTAAATACTCATCTTAGAATAGAAGAAAAACTCATAACTCCAGGTAGATAATATTGCCGGCAAAGACAACGGAGACTGAAATGGCGATTTCTCGCTTATTAGCTGTCGTCAGCCGATCATACCCAACCCCAGCTGGTGCACCACTCGAGGTTCGAACTCGCGATATTGTTGATCGGAAGTCTAACGTTCTAACCACTGAGCTACGAGCCCGGTGTCTTGCCGTTTAAGATTGCGAAATATGGACAATCGTCTATGAACGTTCGTTGAGCAAGTGTCCATATTTTCCAATCTAAGCCGGAAAGACAACAGGCTCCTGGCTGAACAGTTAGAACGTTAGATTTCTGACCAAAAAGTTCGCGAGTTCGAGCTTCGATTGATGCATGATCAGTGAACGTTCACCAAAGAACATTCCTGACCTCTCTATAATACAAACGTTTATGCCGTCGCTTCAATGCAATGTAATAAACGTAATCTGCCAACGTTGGTAAAGTACATGAAGTACCCTTTTTCGTTGCTTGAAAGAAGTTTATGCTCAAAAACTTAAAAAAATAGGCACGAATTATGTCCTCTACTTAGTCGCTGTAATTTGCACACCCATCGTTATGCATCCATGCATTGTTGGTGTCTTGCTGGAATCCCGTAGCTCCGCTAAGTCTGAAAACGATTCCATTGGCTGATAAGTCATGTTTGTTGGATCATTAGTATTAAGTAGTTTTTAACAAAAGGCTCTGCAATTTTCTGGAAAACCATTTTTCAGGCTATCATGGACAACGGACCTGCACGAAAGAGGAAGACTGCGTCTTCACTTCAAAACGCCGGAGATCGGATATCGGATATGATGGAGGTTGTTTTTTTCCTTAATTACTCTATGCCCCTGCCTTGGCTATTAATTTTACTCTCTTTATTTCAGCTACATGCATTGTTTAATTCCAATTTTTACGAATCTTCATTCTATTATTCACTTCTCTTGCTAAAAGAGAGGATTCCGTTAATTTTTTATTATAGTATACGAACATGGCCTACATGCCCGTAGGACAGAACCCATATGAGGTTAAAAAATTTCACAAGAGTCTGTGTTAATTATAAGTAGTGACTGTGTCAAAACGCCCGATATCACGCTCCAAGCTTGTAGATAGATAGCGATAAAATGAACACCTCACTATTTGAGATTAGTGAAAATTCCATCAGAGAATTCAAAAGAGTAGTTGGCGAGCATGCTCATACGTTCCAAATATGCTCATCGGGCTAATACGTTTATATGGCAACGAAGTACGAGCTGAAACAAACTCCTGTGTGGCAGGTTATATCGGTATGTGTCGTAGCCCATTGTTGGATCAGGATTCCCCACCGGAATCCAAACTGGTAGCAGTTGGAAAACGGAGAAGAGCCGAGACCTCGACCGGCTTGAGCCAAAGGTCCGCGGGGGGAAGAGGTGGGTGCCTAGCTGGGAACTGCAGACGAACAGATTCTGACAATAATGCGGAGAGGCGCCGCAGTCGGGACAGCAGTTGGGTGTGGATGGGTCGAGCCTGTCGCACGAGTTGGTGCCTATCCAAAAGAATAAGGGAACACCGCCCGGTATAGCTAAGGAAGGTTGAAGTCAGGAGCATTAGCAGCGCTATTCTCACGCAAATTGTTGATACTGGACATCGTGTGGACCACAAAGAACTCTTCCAGGGTAGTTATAAGGTCCCACCAAACTATCCAAATTCCCTGGCTCAGTTCCTTCCTGCAACAACCGAAGCAACCGCTATCAGGTTGAGGATGTCGATCTTTTGTGCATAAAATGACCTTCTGCATGCTCTGCGCCTGGCGTGGCCAACGTCAGCTTACCCGCATGCACTCTTCCGCCGCGCTCTCTCTATCTCCTCCTCCTCCTCCTCCTCCTCCTTCCCCACTGGAACGGCTCCACCACACCTTCAGGGCCGCGTAACCAGTCGTATCTTATCGACTCTCCCCTCCTTTCCACTTCCACGACTCAGAAGGACGTACAAATTGACCGCATGCTTTAACCTGTATGCCGTTCTTATATAAAAGTACTGGCCCAATGGAAGTTTATGGAAAGCACGCGTATGCTTGTCAAATGCCCTTCTGGATACTCATAACTGAACAGGTAATTAGTCTACTTGTAGATATGGTGACAGAGATTTGGATTTTTGAGTCATTTCTACACGCAAGACAGTTGGGGTTAGCAAATCAACTGAGTGTCTGTTGTGAGTTAACCGATTATTAAATCCCGTTAGCCGTTTAATCCCTTTTTAGCCTCTACAGCTTCAGGAGGCTTTAGACTTCGTAGTATTGAAACTGTCACCGAAAGGCTGAAAGCCAATTTTTCACTCGGCTACCTCTCTCCTTTAGATCTCAACAATCAGGCGAGAGGACTATGATATAACGGATGGCCAGTCAGAGTACGAGGATTTGATGCAATCTTACCACAAGAGCGATTCTGAGTATGGTCGAGGACATCAATTTCCAGCCGCCTATCTTATCCGAGCCAGTGGACTGGACGAAGTAAGTTTTGTTTTGTTTTCGGCTGCCCATCTATTGGCCTCCTGCTCCCTTCAGTCAACTAGGGTACTTCCGTTGTCAGCAGAATTATCTCATAGGTGTGTATAGAAGAATGGGAGTAAAAACGTAGTGTCTTTAATGACGTGGGCTTAAGTGCGCCTATTTGGGGCTGAGCCTTAAATGCATACGCATGAATGGGGAGACAGACTTGCCGAGAAATATAATTCCAAAGCAAGTAGGTTCTTTAGGAAATGTACGAAAGTCTATTGGACGCTGGTTCTCCGCGTCCTCGGCAGACTAGGGTACATGTGCAGAACGAAGGTAAAATGTCAAAGGCGCTTAAAAACCGACACTTGTTCGGTGTTTCAGAAGAAAGCAGCCGTCATGTGCATCATTTCTTCTCTTAGCCTCTTCCGCTTTCTTTAACAAGTTCGTTCACGGCAATGGGCTAACTAATGAGCAACTAAACGCTGTGCTTGGTTTCGTGAGACTCACATTTGTGAAGGGGGCCATCGTCAAGTATGTGCGTTTCGTCCCCGACGAAGCTGTGCTTAATAGCAGGAGTGTGCATGGTCATTTGAGACGGATAGCTTGTCTATTGACTATCAGCTGGTGTTCTTATTGGCGTGTCGAGCCAGCTTTTCCAGTTCTATATTCATGTATCACTATCAGTAGCTAATCGTGCACCTTGACATGCCGTATTGTGATGGAGCACGAACTCGGCGAATTGGACGCTGGAGCTAAAGCCAATCACGGTACCCCTGCAAATGTGGCCCAAACTGCTCTGCATACAAAAGCAAACATTCTTTGGTGTATAAATGCCCATCCTTGTTACCACAAGACTCTCTCGTCCCATTATGCATTGGAGCAGCATATCGGCTAGTATTATGGATTGCTGAACATTGCCGACCATGCCTTGTTTGGTACATCACTTGGTGTTGGTTATGACCGGCTGATGATAGCTAATGAATCAGAAACGATCATTCGAGGTTCCCTTTCCTTTTCCGGCAATTTGCATCTACCTACGCAGCTAGCCGCTGTGCGGCTGTTATCGGGGCTCGACATTGAGCCCCAAGGCAGAGCAGGACAAAGGAGTTCCGCCAGCGCTTAGTGATCGTTCATCAACGGTTGTCAATATTCTCTGTTGTGACTTACCATACTAACAGCCTAGGTACTTGCTAAAAGGCCCAGATACGTGTTTTGCTACCATACTAACAGGCTGCGTTACTTGCTAAAAGGCCCAGACACGTGTTTCGCCGGTATTCTGCCGCTGCTTAGTATGGTAAGTTACAAAGTA